ATATAATATATATATATATATATATATATGTGTGTGTATATAGTATTGGTGTGTATGCCTTGCTGCAATGCCCATGAAAGGCGCATTTTACTTGAAATCTACAACCTCAAGTGGAAATTTGATATCATACTGCTCGATATCGAGCTGGCCGATGCTATAATCGAATCCACTATAGTTTTTAATGATATAGTAATTTTAATAATAAGATAGTTAGATTATGTTCTTAACCATTACACAACGACATAGGTTGAATATATATGGTTAGGAATATTTATTATTCTATAGGATATTCTACAGATCTTCCGATCCGAGTTCACAAAGATTTTTTTACTAAAATTTAATGTTCTTTCGTATAAATAAGAGTTTTTAATTTAAATATATAGGCGTGTGCGCTTGTTTTGAAAAGATACTTTAAAATTGTGGGAAAAAGGCATCCATGCATGAATCCTCTTTCAAATTCAAATTACCGACGAACAAAATAAAAGTGCACTTGTAAAGCGTACGTGTAACTTAAGTTTAATTCTTTTTCTGTTGAATGATGACACATATCCAGTGCTAAAACATCCAGAACAAATATTTATTATTTTTATATTCGATAAATTGTATTGATACATTTAATTAGAATATAAAATTTACATAGTCATTCTGTTTTATTTAACTAATTGATTAGCAATCTTATGACAAGTGTTATTTGAAATTCAAACGTTTTAGCTTAAATTTCAGCGTTTATTTAGTAAATATATTATGTTCTAAAAATTTTTAAAATGTTCACAAATAATTCAAGAGTTTCTTATATTAAATGTAAGAGAGCGAGAGTACCAGAAATTATCCTGCAATTTAATTAGTGTTTTCTTTCTCTTAAAGATCATAAATCAGCACCATTTTTATTCACACATTCCCTACATTTTATCCTTGTTAGTAAAGTTCTATCTTTTGATCATTACTAATTTGAGATCCAAAGATAAATGTTCAGTTTCCTAATTTAATTTTTTTCTTTTTTAGAGGAAAGTTTGCTTCAGTCCGCCGCCTCGTTCACAAAACTAGTGGTGTACCGTTCGCAGGAAAATTCATCCGGCGCAGGCGCCGCGCTGCAGATACCAGTAGGGAGATCGGTCACGAGATGGCGGTGCTGGACCTGTGTTCTGGATCGGAACGCGTAGTGCGGCTCGTCGAAGTATATGAAACCAGGGCAGAAGTCGCTCTGGTTTTGGAATTGTAAGTACATTAATAAATGTGGTTGAATAAGATATTTGCTCCAGCATAGAACACGACAACAAAGAACAATCTGAGATACCTACAGACTGTATAAAAAGCCTTACGACTAGTTTTTAACAAATCAAGGGACTCACTGACCGAACACTATTACTTTACAAAATACATACATGAACAGACTGACATACAGATACTCAATCAAATTGAAAAGCTTACTGAAAGCTTTACCTAAAAAGTAAGGATCACTCGAACAACGACATCCAGGCCCTTGGCCAATATCGCCCGCTCGAACCATAGTGGCAAAGAAAAAAAATTGAATATGACTCTGTATCAACCAGTTGTTGTCTATGATAATGTTTGCAATTTTTTCCCTCTTTTATACTTAGTTGAATACTTTATTACGTTTTTCTTTCTTAAAAAAAACTGAAATGTAATTTTTTTGGGAAACTGCTAAAAGTTTTTCTTTTTTGTTACGTATAGATTTTATTATTTTTAATTGTATTCAATAACTGAAATTGAAAACATTTATAAATGTAATAAAATACCCTTAGGGTAGAAAACATGTACATATATATTGTATCATATCCCACATAATTTAATAAAAGTTTCAAAATTGAAAACTGATATTTTCTTATAATAATTTATGAGCCATTTCTTGGGCATAGCTACATTATCAATCTCCCGGACAATCTTCCGGACTAACATTACATGTTTTGAATTCAAGAGTGTTTTAAAGATTAATTTATATTCTGGGAGCCAATTTATTTAAACGTATCTTATTTTTATTGATGTTAGCTTGATGTATTGGTAATCCCCAAACTGTCAATATGCTATGCATTCAATAATTATAATATTATTATTACAATATTTATAATTGATTATCTGATGTTGACAATGGCACAAAACTAATCTCAAAATAGCATGTTGTCCTATAACATAACAGAGCTAAGAACAGGCTTATTATTCTTTTTTGGTCCTACTCTCTCAAATCACTATAAAAAAATAGTGAGCTTATCCCATAATTGGTTTTTTAACTGAGTTTTTTCTCAGGGCTACTGGAGGTGAGCTGCAGCATCTTTTAGATGAAGAGGAGCATTTGAGTGAAGTGGATGCTCGTAGGGCTCTGCGACACACTCTTCGGGGTCTTAGAGACCTTCATGCACACAACATAGCTCATTTGGATTTAAAACCACAGAACTTATTAGTATGCAAAGGGGAAGACAGGTTAGTATAGAGAAAATAATTAGTCGAAGTAACTGATTAGTAGAAAATGTGATTTACTTATACTTGTTGTAAGGAACTTAGGTCATAGCATCTGTAATAAAATCTGATTAGTAGAGAACATTCCGAAGATGTGTAAAGTGATATACAATTTATTACTATTTGTTGCTCTAATATAACACTTGAATTTGTTTTTTTTTTAACTTTACGAATGAGAAATTTGTTTTCACAAAAAATCTGAGAAATGAGCTCTTTGACGCGAGCCAAAATTTGACCTTTCGTCAACGATTTTTCTATTCCAAAGTCATTCGATGAAGCTCGTTAAGGATTAAGCACCGCTTAATCAGAAAAGTGCAAAATACTTTGTTCACGTTTTTGTAAATAATCCTTGACCAATTTTGAAAATCCAAAAACTATTCGAAAGTATCATTTGGGACTCGTGCTGACTATACTAGGTTTTGGTAAAGATTGCCCGGGTCTATTTTTTGTAATTAAATATAAAAAATGCATTTTAATGGAACTTACAATGGCGATATAGTTCATGGTCTGAACGAATATCCTAAAATATTATATTATAGCCATACGAAAAGTAGTTGAATTATAAAATTTTAGGGACTGCGTTTTCAGGACATACAAGCGCATGTTGGTGAACTAAAATTGATAATAAAATTATATCTACCCATCAAATATCTGAAAATGATATATACGATGAGTATGCTTATACGAAACAATACTTTATGAGTGAGAAAATTACAGAATAAAAAATTCTAAAGGCATGTTAAAATAGTCTCTCAGATTTTCAATTTTGAACTATCATTTTCAATTTACGACAATTACCACAAATTAAAAAAATGAACTTTTTGACTAATTGGCACAAGTGCTAATTTTTACTAAGAAGGACAACTTCAAGTTTACGTTTCAAAATTATGGCCATCTTACTATTATTGCTCTGAATAGTTTATATATATATATATATATATATATATATATATATATCATTTTAATTATTGTTGTTTCTATTTTACAGTGGTGACAATAAAGCAAACACTCTGGGTGATGTTAAACTGTGTGATTTTGGAATATCTCGACTGATCCAACCTGGTGTCGAAGTCAGAGAAATTATGGGTACTCCTGATTATGTCGGTGAGTAAATAAATACATCAGAACAAACGATAACTATATCATAAATATAATCATTATTGGAAAATTTGATTGCGACATTTCTTGATTTCTTTCGTAGTCAGAGTATTAAATTACATCTATAATTTATTTCAGCTCCCGAAGTGCTCCAATATGAACGTCTCTCCTTGGCTACGGATATCTGGTCTGTCGGTGTTTTGACTTATGTCCTTTTATCAGGTTTCTCACCATTTGCTGGTGATAGCAAACAGGAAACCTATCTTAACATCACACAGAATGAATTGGCGTTTCCTCAAGATCTGTTTCAAGACGTTTCGGAAACTGCCAAAGACTTTGTCAGGAGCTGTCTCGTTTTACACCCGGGGTAAGAGAAAACAATTAGCAAAGGATTCACCATGTTGAGATATTTAAGTCGATTGATAAACTGATTCATTTTTTTTTTAATTTTCATATTTTTAATTTTTCTAAGAAGAAATTTGCTAGAAAATCAGATTTGCTATATATCTATTTTTTCGACGTTTTAAGTGATCCTGAATTGTTTGAGACGAAAATTAGAAAAAGTAAATGTTTGCGAAGCATAATTTGACCTTTTGTGTAAATTTTTCAAAAACGGTTGCGATATCAAAATTTTTAAAACCTTTTGATAAAACTCGATAAGGACTCTGGTTTCTTTACAATTAGCAGATAAGTACATATTTATTTCCGTTTCTTCGACGTTTCAAGTCATTCTGAATGAAACCAATATTGGAAAAAGTATATATATATATATATATATATATATATTTGTGTGTGTATGTGTATGTGTATTTTTTTGTATAGCGAAGGAAATGCATTTATGCATACCAGACTGGTATTTCGTATGGCATACCCGGACTCTATACCGCCTGAAATCTTTGCTTTGCCCTTGCCTCTGGCCATCACGGAAACCGCCGTTAGGCATCACATTGTGAGGGAAGGATCTAGAATGTCATAATTATTGCTCTGAATTTATACCTATATTGTAATTATTCCCATTCGCTCTTCTTTCCGAAGATCGCAGACAGGTCTATTAGCACTTTGGTAGCTCGAAAACAGCCGTGCCCAGATAGCATTTGCGTAGTACTATAATTAACTTTATTAACTCAATACATGTGATTTAGCCAGATTTTGATGTTTGGAATGAGACTATGCGTCCACTGCCCTTCACTGCGACATCCCACAGTTGCTGCCATCGGTCAATGCTGTTCTGCCGTTTTTCTAATCTCAACTTTTCAGGACAGGTTGTTGGTTTCTTTGTTGTTAAATTATCCGTCTTTGTTCTGCTAAGACTATAGAGGCAGAGTTACTGAAATGACGCACACAGCTTCTTCCGATATTGTGCGAAATGTGCAAGCAACTCTTAAGACACTCAAACGACATATATGTCCTGCCATTCTCCGCGATTTTTGAGTCTTGAGAGCATCAGCCAATACGGAAATACCATATGTTAGCACCGAAGTAACCACTGATGACATCAGTCGAGCAAGTCTCGTCTTAAGTACTGACGCTTCAGCACTACCTTCTTCCACCTGTTGATTTAATTGAGAAACAAGCATTTCGCCAAGGTAACATACATAAGGTTATATACGTGATCTCTATATTTACTATCTTCAGCTAGATATAATAGAGACTATTATATTTCTACTTGAAAAAAGAACAAGTTTACCCTTCTATTGTGCTAATTGTAGGTTCATTGTTTCCATCAAGGGATTAATTTTTCTCAATGTTATGTCAAATAGAACTACGATCTCATCAATTTGATTGGCAGCAACTACTATGGCTACATCATCTTCATATTCTACTAGTTTGGCACATAGTGGAATATTCAGTCTCTAAAGTATGTGTATGTGAATTAGTGATGGGCGTTGAATCAACGAACGGTTATTTTCAACCTAACTAACCGTTTCGTCGCAACGAAATAACTAGTTGAAAATCAACTGGTTGCGAAGCAGTTGAAAACATGGCGGCCAGTTAGTTTTTTCAACGATATAGGAATTCGTTCGTTGTCGAAAACGAACGTAGGCAGGTACCTGCGTCGGAAAGGATCAACTAATACTATGAAAATCGCTTATTGTTAGGCTACTGCTTTTATAATATTGCAGATGTACATGTACATCTTAAAAGAAACTTGCAACACGCGCCAAATCGTTTAATTTTAGAAAATCAGTTACATTTATTATAGTTTTCAATGGTTAATATTTTCATAAAAATCTCATAGCATTTGTCTTGTAATAATTTTTTTAAACTAAACCTGAAAATTGATTTTTTATTTTTCATAACATTTTATATAACTATACATTTTTATATTGCTATTTTATATAACATGTAAATTCGATGTTTTAGTATATGGCTTTGCTGTAATAAAAATATTTAAGTTTTTTAAAAAACCTTTATTTATTATATATGTTACGGTAAATGTGCATATTTCGGTGAATGTGCACATTCACCGGTGAATGTGCACATTTACCGGCTCATTTGGCGAATGTGAGTTGACTCGCGCGCGTGCGCACGTGCGGGTGAAATACTAATTCATAGATAGAGGGATGGGAGAGGGAGAGGGAGAGGGAGAGGGAGAGGGAGAGGGAGAGGAGAGGGGAGGAGAGGAGAGGGAGAGGAGAGGGAGGGGAGAGGGAGAGGGAGAGGGAGTAGGGAGAGGGAGAGGTAGAGGTGAGAGGGAGAGGGAGAGGAGAGGGAGATTTAGAGGGAGATTGAGAGGGAGAGGGAGAGGGAGAGGCTAGGGGAGAGGGAGAGGGAGAGGGAGAGTGATATTGAGATTAAGGGATATGGATAGGGATAGGGAGAGGGAGTAGGGAGATTATATTTATATTTATATTATATTATATTTATATTATATTTATATTTATATTTCTATTTATATTATATTTATATTTATATTTATATTCTTCATTTTAGTCATATGCATATTCATACCCATATTATTACTATTGACAATTAACAATTTATTGAATATTTAATTAATAACTATTAACTATTTAACGATTAACTATTACCTATTTAACTATTCTTATTTCACTATTTACTAATATGATTCCCTATTGCTAATATCTATTCACTATTTACTATAAACTATTCAGTTATCACTATTCACGATTCACTACTTTACTATTCAACTATATATATCTGATCAAATGAACTTTCAACAATATTCATTCACAGCATCACACCATTTTGGTACAAAATTTGTAACATGCTTGACGTATTTCGCGCATAGTCTTTATTGCGCATGCGTCAAATACGCGAGATGTTCATAAGACCGATCCAAGTACGCACGTACACCATTGTTTTAATTTGATTGTTTGAGAACACGCCACATTCACCTAGCGTTTTGGGGAATGTGCACATTTACCGGTGAATGTGCACATTCACCGAGAGTGCACATTTACCGTAACATATATATATATATATATATATTATATATATATGTGTGTGTGGTGTGTGTGTAATAAATGTGACAATTCACATTTATTTCTTTTTATTCATCAAATCCAACGTCAACTTGACTTTTATAAGAACAAACTTCATATTACCAACTTTCAATGAAACAGTTATTTCAACTATCAGTTTCTTAACGTTGCCAGCGTTGAATCGTTAAAAATAACTATAGTTGAAAAATAACTAGTTATTTAACTAGTTGACGAAACCCCGATAACCGTTTCGTTTCGTTGACGGCAAAACCGTCAACGACCCACCTCTAATGTGAATAGTGTGCATGTATGGAACCGATTTAAAAACATTAAAAGTTATTCGATTTAACTCAAAAAGGACAAGCGTTTATCAGTTACCTTGTAACTAGCAGAAATGTTTAAATTTTTTTACGTCGTCCACGTTTTAGCCCACAATTTTGGACCGATTTTTTGCGCATTTAACCGATTCTAATCAGGATCTATGCCGTTTCGTTTGTAGCTACTGATTACAATTTACGTCTATAAATTTTTAGAATCTGAAATGGATGAAATTAATTGTGTTAAACCAATAAAATAACTTTCGGTACGGTAAGTTATAGTGATCGCAAAAATAATCTAAAATGAAATTTTTTATATATCTTTACGTTTCAGAGGTTTCTGAACATTTTGGCATACCTTAAAAAAATGGATGTATGTGTGTGTATGTGTATGTGTGTGCGGATACAAATTTTCGGCGACGATTTTGGGAACACGGTACAACCGATTTCGATTATTCAAAAAATATTCGATTGCTGTTGATAAGGAGACGTGCTGATTAGTTTTTGGCATAAGCAGGTCTAGCCGTTTTGAAGATACGGGGCAAAAAATGTCACAAACGGTAACTCAGTTTTTAAGAAAACGGAGCGTCCGATTTTAATAATTCAAAAAACATTTTACTTGTATTAACAAGATGAAAAATTGATCAAATTTTCAGGAAGGCAGGTCTAGACGTTTCGGAGATCAAGTAAAAAAAGTATGAAAAAGCCATTTGGCGGTCAAAAATGATCATTAGACATATGCACATCAAATTGTCAGATATTTTATAGAGATTTTAACAATAAGTATAAATTTTGTTTACATTCCTATCCGTTCCGTACTAATGTTTATCCATTAGGCTGCGACGCGGCGTTTACGCGCTTCGATATGTCATCTCTATGCAGTTAAAGCAGTACGATTGCTTTGAAAACTAGCTGTAAGTGGAATTCTGTCTTAAGGTAATTAAGGCATTGTGCCTTAAGGTAAATTGCTGGAACTTCCCGTACCAAAAATTATTATTTTTTTAAAAACGATTAACATTTTTGAAAAAAAATTACTTTGAAAAAATAAGATTTTTGAGAAACTATAAATTGGACAAAAAATTACTTTTTTTAAAAAAAAATAAAAAAAAAAAATTTTTAATTTTTTTTTTTTTGAAAAAAAATTTTTTTTTCTTTATTTTGACATATTTAGTCGCTGTCTAACGCATAAGCATTGTTACGGAACCCATAGGAATGTTAACAAAATATATACTTATTGTTGAAATCTCTATAAAATTTCTGATAATTTGATGTGCATATGTCTAATGATCATTTTTGACCGCCAAATGGCTCATTTTTTTACTTTTTCCTCCATATCTCCGAAACCGCTAGACCTACCTTCATGAAAAATTTATCGATTCTTCATCTTATCAATACAAGTGAAATGTTTTTCGAATTATTCAAATCGGACGCTCCGTTCTCCTAAAAACTGAGTTACCGTTTTCGGCACTTTTTGCCCCGTATCTTCGGAACGGCTAGACCTGCCTTCGCCAAAAACTAATCAGCACGTCTCCTTATCAATACGAATCAAATGTTTTTCGAATTATTCAAATCGGTTGATCCGTGTTCCCGAAATCGTCGACGAAAATTTGTATCCGCACATACATACACACACGTACATACATACATACATACATACATACATACATACATACATACATACATACATGCATACACACACACATACATCCATTTTTTCTAAGGTATGCCAAAATGTTCAGAAACCTCTGAAACGTAAAGATATATAAAAATTTTCATTTTTGATTTTTTTGCGATTACTATAACTTGCCCTACGGGAAGTTCAGAATTTCTAAAATATTTCAAAATAAAGAAAACATTTTTTTTCGAAAAGTCTTTTTTCTCAAAAAAAGTAAATTTTTATCAAAAATTTATAGTTACTCAAAAATCTAATTTTTTCATAGTAATTTTTTTCGAAAATATTTTTTTTTTTATAAAAAATTATTTTTAGTACGGGAAGTTTCAGCAATTTGCCTTAAGGCACGGTGCCATGCGCCCCACTAGTTTAACTTATACAATTACAGATATTGGTATAAGTATATTTGAAAGACATCAATTAGAAATCGCATATTATTTTCGAAATAACAGTTGAACATTTTAGCTAAATACCTGAATCTCGTATCTTATTGATTAAGTTGATAATGTATACGTATTTTACAACTAGTTGAACATTTTTTTATTATTTTAGATCAAGGCCTACGGTCGAACAATGCCTGGATCATCCTTGGTTGATCGAAACTTCGAATATAGAGATCGAAAAACCTTGGCAAAATCAACGTCCGAGGAAACTTTACAGAACGATTCAACCCGAGCGAAGACACCACGTCAGAAGAAGAACCAGAAGACGAAAACGAAATTTGTACCAACGGTTTCACGAATATAAAAGACATCGAAGATAAAATCCAATACCCAGAAATAATAACAAAAGCATCTGTCTACATATCTTTTCCTGATGCGCCAACTACACCAAAGGTGTCTCGAAAGAGCCATCTAGCGCTGCACACCTCCAACACCGTTCTGAGCTTGTGCAAAAAGTTCCAACAAGACAACACGGATGGCGAGGAGGATAAACAGACTGAAAATGATAAAAACGATGAAGGGAATGAAGAGAATATTAATTTGGGTAATTTTGAAAATACAGTGGCGTACACTGTGACTTGTTTGCTTTGTTCGCAATGTGGGGGCCAATGTTGTCATATACCAAGGAAATCTTTAACGATGGAACGGGGAATCATTTGTTGATATAGAGCAAACGTTAAAGTTAGATTGTATGAACAATGTATGAATTTGTATGGTTGTACTTGAAATACTGTTAAAAACTACAAAACCCATTTAACATGTATTTTTCATTTTGATTCAACTGGTTTGATTTAATTTTAATCATTATTATTTAACTGTAGATGTATTATTATTTATAAGCGCAAACTACAAATTTAAGAATGTCGAAGTAGGTTCTATAATCTAGTTAAGTTTATTAATTATTATTATTTAGTTCTTTTGAGCATGGTGTAAATATTATATTAATGTAATTTTCATTGTTAATTGCAGTTTATGTAATTATTGCTTAATGTATGTGTATTATTTATGTATATTTGTAAATGATAAATTGTTTTGAAAAAAACTTTCATGTAAACATTTGAAATGCTAATTTTGTTTACAATCAATTCAAAGTAAACAAAACTAATCGTAATTGTTGTTAAATCCTTCAATGCTGTAAAAAATATTTAATATGTATAATTAAAACATATTGTTTAAACACTCTTATAAGTTCTGTTAAATTTTTATAGGCATTGACGGAAAGTTTGTTTCATGAAAATAAAAAGATTTTGAATGTATACATTTAAGTTATTTTTTTCACAATCAATGCATATATAATATTTTGATTATATTTACTTATATATATAATATATATATATATATATATATATATATATAGATATATATATATATATTTATTAATTTAAAATATTTTTGATTTAAATACTTCAAAGATAAAAGGTGATTTCTTTCAAATTTAAATAAAGAGTATAAATGTCTAAGTTTTTTTTGGTTTGTTTCTACCAATCTTGACATCCAATATCGACGATATAAATTTAAATAAAACTTTTTTTTTCAAATAAAAGGAGGCTATTTTATCAAAAACATAAAATCATAAAAAGTATTGTATATACACACAGAAACATTAAATATATATACATATATATATATATAGTATATATATATATATATATATATATATATATGAGTGAGTTCTTGAGGGCGATACATCAAAGAATTTGAATTGTTTTTTTGTTTGATGTATCGCCCTCAAGAACTCACTCATATATTTCAACATCAAAATTAACTACTAATTCATATATATACATAGGGTGGTCCTTAATATGGACATTTTCGAAATTCCTTGCTCCCAGGGGCATAAATGCTTCCAAATTGATAAAAATAATTCTCTAAAAGTTTTAGCTCTTTTAGATAGTGCGCAATTCAATCAAAGCTTCATATGGAAATAAAATGGAAAAAATTTTAAAAATGTTTTTTAGGTATAACTTAGCGACAACTAATTAAAAGTGACAATTTGTTTCATCTTTTATTGAAAATTCGACGCTCTACAAAATAGGTTTTTTATAATTTGTTTGCAGAGCGTCAAATTTTGAATATTCTTATTCATTTGTTTGCTAAGTTATATCTAAAACATTTTTAAAATTTTTAAAGTTTTTCATGCTATTTCTATACAAAACTTTGATTGTATTGCGCAATGTATAAAAGACAATAATAAGAGTTAAAATTATAGAGAATTATTTTCTTCAATTTGGAAGAAGAAAATTCCAAAATGTCCATATTAAGGACCCCATATTACATATATATATATATATATATATATATATATATCATGAAAAGAATATACATGAACTTCAAATTGCTCATTTGCTTTGACAATATATAGCAAGGAATATAAATGTTCATTAATTTATAGAAATCATCAA